AGAGAGAGAGAGAGAGATCAGAATACTTCCATTGACTACTCCCGAACCACGATTCTTTCTCTCGAGTACCAGTAGGGAACTAATTGCGTTACAGGCTCGGCGGTAAGCATGATAGGCGGTCACGCGATAACGAAACACTTGCAACTTCACAGAATATTTTGTGTTTCGGTCTCTCTATTTTCCGCGTAATCGACGGCAATTACGCCCCATGTATTTCCATGTACGCCAACTGCGAGCGAGGATGAATTAACACGCAAATGAGTCGATCGAACGAAAACCGGTATAGCAAATGGAAAAACAAAGATGCGCGTTGTTAGCATCGATTCGGTACGTCGTTGCACACTCATTATCTGTGAGGTTGATAGAGGACTGAAAATATCGGACGGTAGAAGGAAATTATGGTTGCGTCAAGTTTAGGATAAGTGTTCGATAATGGCTGGTTATTGACCCGCTATTATGCACGGTTTATAAATTCAAACCGCCATAATGCATAGGAATAATATAAAGTGTGTATAAAATAATCTGATAGACATGATAATGCATGTATAGAAGTATAATGTAACATTATTCGAAAATAGAAGATGGAGAATTTTCTCTTAAAATCCTTATCCTGAAAAAAATCATGGTAGTCGTGGAACAACGCGAAATTTTTTCAAAGAATTTCATGTGATTTTCTAAGATTTATTAATATCTATTGCAATATAAAATATAAAATATATTTGAATAAATTTTGTCATATATTACTAAAATATCCAGTAAAATTTTAAAAACCTTGTAATATATTAAGTAATTCATGATTTTATATTGTTTTAATAAAATAAATATTGCGTAATAACATATAAAATATATCAAATAAATTTTAACACAGCATTTAATTCTTTTAATTCAATTTAAGCGCTGATGATAATTTTACCATGCAGCATGATAATTTTTATAGTCGGTAACGTCCACTGATCATTGATTACTCTCATTAAACTGTGTCCGTAAACTATTTAAATGAAACAAATAAAAGAGAAATACTAACAAAGAAATATGTAGATAGAAACGAAGTTATAAATTATGGAGAAAAAAAATTACGTCGAATTTTTTACCGTATATAAATATTTAAATAATTATGCTCTTGTAAATTTTGTAAAAATTAAAACAAAAAAATAAATTCCCTAAAAAATACATTTAATACGATTGTTGGTATAAATTATATTTTTAAAACACTTTACAATCTGCTTCATAAATCTACTACTTTACAAAATGTTTTTTATACGTTTCAAAAATTCCTATTGTTATTGATTGAACATATCAAAATAAGTATCAAATATTATCTCAAATATCAAACATAACAAATTTGTAATGAATGTTGTGGTAGATTATAACAAAACAATTCTTCCCGTGTATTTGATATAATTATTAAAAATCCTGTTTCATATCTTTCTATTCTACTTGGATCGTTAGAAAATGGAAGGTTCTCGTGAGAAGTTCTCATGATGAAGGTATCACCAAGCGTTGCCATTTGAAACTTCTCGCGTGGAAATCGGAATTATCTTTACGACAAAGAAAATTTGCAAACCCCGGGATACCCGTCGGCGTACCCGTTCGCGTTACGTCGGACGTAAAGAAATGTAATATATTTCACAGGAAATCCGCAGCAGCCGACGGAGATACGGCAATTACGGTCGGGATACGTGTACCAAGCACGCAATGGGGGCGATCGATCGTTCCTCGCGCAGTGGGAAATACTGCGAGAGAAAGCATCTGACACGCGTTTGCGAATTGCGCCGTCGGTGCCGCGTCGAACGGACCTGGGTCGATTCGCCGTGTTGAATACGGCGACAATAGCAAAAATGGCAAATATCAGCTGTGCAGGACAGCCTAGCTCCCTCGCGATCGATCTCCTCGTTCCACGCCGCAAAACAACGGCGCTAGATGCTTACCGATCGTTGAAATTGTTTTGAAACGTTCGCCCAGATATGTGTGTGTGTGTGTGTGTGTGTGTGCGTGTGTGCATGTGTGTATGTAATTGCCTTGTCCTGAAAATTAAAAAAAAAGAAAATTAAAAAAAAAAAAAATTACTATCACTATTAAGAAGAAAAAAGTATTAAGGAGAGCAAGCGAAACTAACTGTTCTATTGTAAATTTCAATTTATCGCTGCTCTCATTTGTTTCGAACAACAGCATTAATTGCGTCTATATATTTTTTCTAGTGTGTACGTGTGTGTGTGTGTGTATTTAAAATTTTTAAATTACGACAGCCAAGTGCAATAAAATTTTCGTTGGGATGAGGAAATTGCGGCTGGAGATTGGAGAACGCGAGATGAGAAATTTGATCGCGTGAGCAATACGAGAAGCTTGTAGGCGATATCGGGGGGGGGGGTAGGGGAGGAGAGTACAGACGAGCTCTCGATAGCATTAATCGTTTCGATCGCGAGCATATGCGCGATCGAAAGTTTTCCCAAGATCTAATCGTACGTTCCGTGTGTCATTACGGCTCTCGTGCAAGAAGCTGAGTCATCGCGCATAGTCCAGACTAATGGTCGTCCACCTTGAGGATGTTTCCTTTAGTGTTACCCCTTACGCGATCGACTCCCCCCCTCCTCCCCCACTTTTGTCATAGACGAGTACGACGCGATCAGTCTTTCTCTCTCTCTCTCTCGCGATACTCGCCGCGCCAACTTATTCAAGTGGCAGGCAAAGAACAATGTGACGCAAGAATTCGAGCTCTGGCGCAACTCCGCGCGACACTTTCGCGACCACGTCGCGTCTACGCAGTCGATATTTCGATATAAAACAGACATAGAGCGAGCGTCGATATTACTTTCTCCGGAAACGTCAATAATTTATATGGAATATTTAAGAATTTTTTTGTTCATGTACTGAAATTACAGGAATATCGCGAAAGGGAGGAGGGGAGGGGAAGGGGGGAGAGGAATCTTGTATCAGAAAGAAAATAACTCGACTGTTTACGTTTCACGTATAGAGACATCTGTGCACTTTCTCTATTCGATGTGACTGTGTCTTCCAAGTGCCTATACATAGATAATATCAAGGACGCAACGCAAATAGTTAAAATAAATTAGTATGCGTGTTTCCACTGGCCATTTACTTTACCGCGGTCAAAGGTAAAGTACGATCGCTAAGAATACTGGGTATCGAAGACGAGGTATCGAGAAGAGACGAAGTGTACTTGAATAATACGCGTTTCTCGCATAAGTGGTGCGCTAAGGTGTATGCGTGCGTGTCTGTCGAGCGCACACAGCCGAGCGCAAAACTCTTTCGCAGTGACGCAGCCGGACTGGAGGACATCTTATTGGCCGGCTAACGTAAACACGCGTATAAGCACACCCCTTGTCCCCTTACATCATAGAGTCGAGATATCTCTTCCGATCCACGTCTCCCCTCCGGTCGATTCTCCCTCCCCCCCCCCCCCCTCCGTCCCTCCGCCGCCCCGACACTCGCAGCCGCCGTATCCACTCCCGCCCTCGCATCTAGCTTCGCCCATTCACCGCCGGTGCGCAGCGCGTCTCGCATCTCTTTCACCCCACTCCGATCGCAGCCACGCTCTTCCCTCTTGCCCCCTCGATCCCCTCGCCGACCGTTCCCGAGCCCCGAGAACCCGGCGAGGAGTACACTCCGCAGCGCGCGGCTCTCCTCCCTGTGCGCTCTGCACAAACAACTCGCCACACGCATGCGAGTTCCACTTTATGGCAGTGCTGTGCACAGAGATAGAGAAAGAGAGAGAGAAACAGAGCGAGAGAGAGCGCTCATTTCATACAATGACGATGACGACGAAGGTAGAGGCGGTTACCACCGGGCGTTCGCAACCCTCGACGCGCTTGACGGGGTGGTCTATCTTCCTCCCTTGTATGAATCTTTTGAAACCCGGACGACTCTCCAAAATGCAAGAGACACGTTTGTAAATCGCTCGCATAGAGAGTTTGACGAGAAATGTTGATAGAGTTTCAAAGTTTCTTCCGTCCGTAAAGATATGTATATATCTCTCTCGGGATGTACTCCCGATAAAAATAAGCGAAATATCGACGTTAAAAATACTCGGTATAAACAAAGTATCGATCGATTTGGAAGGAAGAGAGTATCGGAGTTTTTCTACCTACGCATATAATCGGACCATCTTTCGCGAGAGAATGCATTGTGTCTGGATATTAATACCAGATTGATTGAAGAAACTCAAGAAAAAGAGCGAGAGAGAGAGAGAGAGAGAGAGAGAGGAAAAATAAAACTAGGAAAAATAAAAAAAGAATTTGACCTCCTTAAGGCGCTCCACCATCAACGTTTCGGCAACCATCGCCCAAGTTGGGCTTACAAAGGCCAAATTCGCGGAAGTCGCCACCTTAATGGGAAAGATATCTCGAGCATTCCGACACCGACCATACGCTCCGTCGTACATCCTTGACAAGAGCCTTGACTTTTCGGCGAAGCGGAGCACGAGCGCGTTGGCGGATTTCGTAAGCGAGAGGGCCCTGCTCGCTCGCTCGCTCGCTCGCTCGCTCGCTCGTTCCCACTCCCCTCAATGGCGTGATATCTCGCACGCTCCTCTCGCATCTCTTCGCTACGCGCGCGTATGTACACTTTCGCCCGACTACTCTTTTTCCGGCCGGTATCGATTGTAGCGCGCGCGCGCGCGGACGGCGCGACGGCGAAAGTAGAGGCGATTCTGTATTCGAGCGAAGCGGCGCGCGCGCGCGCGAGCTCTTCGCTGATATAACAATGAAAATTGTCCGCCCTTCCGACGTGCGCTCGCCCATCGTGAATTTTCCCTCTTTAATCCGCGCTGGGCCACAGTCACGGTTTCTCCATATCAAGCATATATATCGCTCATCTCGCGCGACAATCTCTGGCGAGCTACTCTACCGAACGAAGACGACTCGATCACAGTCGAGTAGCGATGAAAAAGTATGAAATGAGTTATATATTAGATTATTAGAAAAACTTGGTACCAGAATATCAATCGTTAACTCTTTTTATTGTATTATTTTACACTGCTGTTGCTCTTAAAGCATTGTTTAGAGAATAAATTTCATATCATCCTCTTTATTAATAACTGAATTGAAATATTTATAAAGAGTTGTTTTTAATATAGAAACCTCGTCAAAATAAAAGAATATCTCGCGTTCGTCGAAAAGATCGACACTTTGAAATTTCGAAGCGTTCGAACTATAGAAGCCGGCTAAGATACAGCAAGTTGCGGAGTATTGCGCAATGTTGCATTGTGCACATTCACATCAACTTTCAGATCGATTCCGATCATTGGAAATCCGAGAACTTTTTCTCGATCTTAAAAAAACGACCGCGTGTTCACTTAAACTTAGATTTCCATAGAGCACACCTCACACGTTCGGTGATATATTTAGAATTGTTGCGTCGTATAAAACACTATGGTTGCTGAGGGAAAGTTCAGAAACACCATGTCAAAGGATATTTTCGTTACAGTGTTCATCACATATATCGTGCGCGCGCGCACGTGTGCGATAGTTTACGCTCTGGTTGAAAATGACGACGATCAAGACGACGATGATTAAAATGACAACGATGACGACGACGACGACGACGACGACGACGACGACGACGACGACGACGACGACGACGACGACGACGACGACGACGACGACGACGACGACGACGACGACGACGACGACG